GCCCGAAACGTCAGCTTTCCTGCTCCTCTGATGCTGCTTGACCTGCTGTGTTCATCCAGCTCTACACCTTGTTATCTCAGATTCTCCAGCATCTGCAGTTCCTACTATCTCATGGACTTGTAGTTGTTCAGGCTCCCAGGCATTTCGATATTCTCCCCAATGCTTGCCTTCATTGGTCAGTGCATTGAGTATAGGAGTTGAGATGTCATGTTGTGGCTGTACCGGACATTGGTTTGGCCACTTTTCGAAAAATGTGTTCAATTCTGGTCTCCCTGCTACAGGAAGGATGTTATTAAACTTTAAAGCGTTCAGAAAAGATTTACAAGGATGTTGCCGGGATTGGAGTGTTTGTGCTATAGGGAGAGGCTGAATAGGCTGCGGATTTTTTCACTGGAGCGTCAGAGGCTGAGGGCTGACCTTATAGAGGTTTATTAAATCGTGAGGGGCATGGATTGAGTGAATAGCCAAGATCTTTTGGTCAGGCTATGGGAAGTCCAGAACTAGAGGACATGAGTTTAGGGTGAGAGGGGAAAGATATAAAAGGGAGTTGTGGGGCACCCTTTTCGCATGAAGGGTGGTGTGCGTATGGAGCAAGATGCCACAGGAAATGGTGGAGGCGAGTAGAATTACAGCATTTTAAAAAATGTCCCTGATGGGTACATGAATAGGAAGAGTTTAGAGGGATATGGGCCAATTGCTAGCAAATGGGACTAGATCAGTTTAGGATATCTGGTCGGCATGGATGTGTTTGACTGAAGGGTCTGTTTCTGTGCTGTGTATCTCTTTGATTTGATTCAGTTTATTATTATCACATGTACCAAGGTACAGTAAAAAGTTTTGTTTTGCGTGCAGGTCATAGCATACAAAGTGCATTAGAACAAAGCGAAAAATACAATGTTACAGTGCAGAGAGAAGTTGCTCAGCGAGCAAGATCAACATTAAATTTAAAATTTGAGAGGTCCATTCAGAAGTCTAATAACAATGGGAAGAAGCTGTTCTTGAAACTATTTGCACATATATACAAACTTTTGTAGCTTCTTCCTGACGAGAGAAGGTGGAAGAAAGTATAACTGGGGTGGGAGGGATGTTTTATTATGTTGGTTGCTTTCAGGAGGCAGTGGGAAGTAAAGATGACTCTATGACTTTAAATCTTGAACACATGCCTTTGTTTGCAGACAGTGGGTCCCGACTTAAGAATGTATGTCACTACTAGCAAGTGTAATTTAGTTGTTATGCTATTAACTAGGGTAGTTCAGCAAATGCCCCATCATCAAATCATATCTAGCAATGGATGGTTTGTTTTGAGTTTTACAAGTGCAAGCTGCTTGAGTGCATCCTGCTGACTACAAACTACCAAAAGGATGCCATTTAATTCAATCAGATCGACATATCTGGCATTACAGCAGTGCTGGAATTCATAGACAACATGGCTCAATTGTGTGGCAGGCCAAATGTCTTTTTGAACTGATAGCAGCATTTTCTCACTGGAAAATACCACTTATGCAGCCACTGCATTTTGCAGGATGAAACCGCTTCCTCACCAGTTGTTCAACCGTTTATTCAAAAATGCCATGAGTGAATTTCAGTGCCAATGTGATGCCAGGTACGAAGGCTGTATGGCTGTAAGGGGTACCTCACTGGTCATTGTCTGTCATTGGAAAAAGACTCGTTTATTCCTACTCTGTTTCCTGGCTGCCTGCCAGTTTTGTATCCATTTCAATATACTACCCCCAGTCCCATGCACTTTAATTTTACATGCTAATTCTCACGTGGGACTGTGTTAAAAGTCTTCTGAAAATCAAAATATACCACATCCACTGGCTTACCTTCAGCAGTTCTACTAGTTACATTTCGTAATTCCAGTGGATATATCAAGTATGATTTTCCTTTTGTAAATCCATTTTTAGGTCCCCCATCCAGAGTTAATTCTCCGCCCTTGCCACTCTCAGTACTTCCTCTCTTTTGAGTTAAGCACCTAGTTTTCACCGCTTTTTAGTCAGGTTTCCATGAATATCACTCTCTCATATTTCGACACTCTATTTGTGTAACTGAAATCAGTTGTTTGTTCTTCGTTTCAATTTCTAGTTACGTCAGCCAGATAGTGTTGAATGTGCAAAAGATATCTCCATTTGACCTTTTCATCCGGTGTTGTAGATTATTGAGCTTCTTTGAAAGGGAATGAATATTGGCTATTAAAGGAATTATCTACTTTTCCTGATGAGAAGAACCTATTCCACAAGATTCAAAATGTCTGTTGAATCAGGTAATACTGTATGAAGGCATACCAAAACATCACATTAACTTTACCCCACGTTTGAAATTCTTGGTATTATCCAATCCTATAAAATAGTTTGAAATCTAGTCAGACCAAAGGAAATATTCAAACTCAAAATCTAAAACTGCAGCTTCATTTCTGGCAAAATTATGTTATGCTCATCTCCACAATATACAGATTCATGACCAGTAATATCATTAGTTTCTGTCCAATGAAGGTTTTAACAGGAAAAAATCGGTGGTTCGTGGTTAACATCGCAGCCTCACAGCGCCAGGAACCCGAGTGTGATTCCAGCCTCGGGCGACTGTCTGTGTGGAGTTTGCACATTCTCCCTGTGTCTGCATGGGTTTCCTCCAGGTGCTCCGGTTTCCTCCCACAGTCCAAAGATGTGCAGGTTGGGTGGATTGGCCATGCTAAAATTGCGTGTAGTGTCCAGGGGTGTGTAAGTTAGGTGGATTAGACATGGGAAATGCTGGGTTGCAGTGTAGGGGAATGGGTCTGGGTGGGATGCTCTTTGAAGGGTCGGTGTGGACTTGTTGGGCCGAATGGCCTGTTTCCACATTGTAGGGATTCTAAAAGTATATACCCACTTTGACGAACAGGTTCTAGGTTAGCTTTTCCTATACAATCTATTTGTAGAATTCAAAGGATCTATTAAGATGGAGTTTTAAGGAAGATGAAAGCTAATCTTTTGAACTGCATTTCAAAATTAAATAAATTACTGAAGATTAGGGGCTTCAGTAAATAATGCATCTTTCTATTTATACCAAACACACAGGAATTGAAAAACGGAGAATAGAAATAGCTCTGCTGCAATTAGTTAATGGTTTAATGAGAGCTATTATGGCATTAGGTTATAATTGGGCAATTCGAGATTATGTTCACCGATGGTGAAACCTTTTCAGTGTGCACTTGCTTTCATTGTATTTTGCTGAATATTTATGTTGGAATCACCATTATTCCTATCCATTAAGATTTTTTTTAAGCAGCGGTGTTTCTCGTTTTCCTGTTAAAACCTTTATTGGGCAGAAACTAATGATTTTACTGGTCATGAATTTGTACATTGTAGAGATGAGCATAACGTAATTACTGTTTATGTAGGATAGCAGTTCTTTCTTAAAAGCAAGATCTCATGGAAATGGATAAAGCCCTTGAGGACTCTATTTAGCAGCATCATATGACTGAAGAAATCATCTTGAAAGACTGTTCAGTTGTGCTCCTATTATTAACTGAAATGTAAAGCATTTAATTATAGTTAACAGGTTTTAAATGTACCAAACATACATTTTCCTTTTTCTTAAAATTATGACTTTTGATAGGTCCACAGAACTTCATGTGAGTGAGTAAGATAGGAGTAGGGTATTCAGCCCCTTGAGCCTGCTTAACTATTCAAATAGATCATGGCTGATCATTTAGAACATGGAACAGTACAGCACAGTACAGGCCCTTCGGCCCACGATGCTGTGCTGTACTTGAAGCATGTATTGCTCTGTGGCGCTGTGCTGGTATAGTAGTTGTTATTCTGAGTTTTGGTTGTAGGGACAGTGGTTCAAATCCAAGGCACAGCAGTGGGAATCTACCTCAGTGCCAGTTTCCTTCGTTATCCCCGTATCCCTTGATCTCATTAGTATCTAGAAATCTAATAATCTCTGTTTTGGATATGCTTTAGGCTTCGAAAACCTGCTGGAGTAATGAATTCTAAGGATTCGCTTTCCACTGAGTGAAAAATGTTCCTCCTCATCTCACCTCATAAATGGCATGCCTGTTATTCTGAGACTGTGTCCCCTCGTTCTAGACCTGCCAAGCCAGGGAAACAGAGTCATACAGCATGGAAACAGACCCTGCAGTCCAACCAGTCCATGACAAACATAATTCCAAACTAAACTAGTCCCTCCTGCCTGCTCTTGGTGCATATCCCTCCAAACCTTTCCTTTTCATGTACTTATTCAAATGTCTTTTAAATGTTGTAATTGTACCTACGTGCACCACTTCTTCAGGAAGTTCATTCCACATGCAAACCCCCACCCTCTGTGTAAAAAAATTTGCCTCTTATATCTTTTGTAAATCTCTCTCCACTCACCTTAAAAGTGTGCCTCCTAGTTTTGAAATCTCCCATCCTAGGGAAAAGACATCTACAATTTACTCCATCTGTACCTCTCTTTATTTTGTAAACTTCTATCAGGTCGCCTACCAACCGCCTATGCTCCAGTCCCAGCCTATCCAGCCTTTCTGTGTAACTCAAACCTTCCATACCGGGCAACATCCTGATAAATTTCTTCTGAACCCTCTGCGGCTTGATAATATCCTTCCTATAACTGAGCAACCAGAAGTGATCTTTTCTGTATCTGCCTTGTCTAGCCCTTTAAAGTTTTTTTTTAAGTTTCAATTAGATCACCTCTCATTTTTCTAAACTCTGAAGAATACAGGCCCAGTTTTCTCTTGGGACATTCCAGTCTTCCTAGTAATTAGGCTGCTCAACCTTCATTCCATTCCTTCCTTGGCAAGTATATCTTTCCTTGGGTCAGAGGACCAAATCTGCACATAATACTCCAGATGTGTTCTCACTAAAGTTCCATTAATTTGAAGCAAGTCACCTCTGTACTCAAATCCTTCTGTGATGAAGACAAACGTATGATTTGCCTTCCTGATTCATGCACCTAAATGTTATCTCTCAGTGACTTAAAAACAGTACTTAAGTCTGTTTGGATCTGACACTTCCCAATTTCTCATCACTTCAGAAATATAGTGCACCTTCATTCCTCCTCACAATTAACAATGTTATATTTTATATGCCATGTTCTTGCCCACTTATTAGAACTGTCCAAATCCCCTTGAAGCCCCTTTCAGTCTTCCTTACAATACACATTCTCACCTAGCTTTGTGTTAACTGTAAATTTGGAAATATTATCTTTGACCCCATGTCCAAAACATTCTTGATAGGTTATAAACAGCTGGGCCGCAAGCACTGATCCTTGAAGTTCTCCACTAGTCACGGCCTATCAACCGGAAAATGACTTGGTTGGCTCTGCTCTCTGTTTTATTTCTATTAACCAGTCCTTAATCAGTATCAGTATATATCCCTATCCCGTGCAGTCTAAATTACCTTGGATGGTAAGTAGTTATTTTAAGCCAGTCTACTCAGTGGTGTTACAGGTCAACATAAATATTTCAGAGATGGATAAAGAGCAAAAGTTCTGGTCAGACGTTCATCTTTTAACTGATGTTTTAAGAAGAATCCTGATTACTAAGACAGATATCTAGATAGACTTTTCCACAAGTTCTCACTACATTCTGTGGTTCCGGATTTCTGTTAAATTATGACTATAAATATAGCTGAACCACATTCGTTGGAAATGAATGTGTGTTGACTGTGGGCTGAATCTCATGAAATATTAATATTTAAAGAGCAACTGAGGGACCTATCGTGTGGTTAAAGTATGAAAAATAAAGAATCATAAACATTTTGAATAAAAATAATTTCTACATGTACTAAATAATTTTAAAAATCGTGACATTAGTTTATGTCTTGACTAGCTTTGTCAGAGATTCTTATTAATTTCTATGACTGGGCGGCACAGTGGCTCAGTGGTTAGCACTGCTGCCTCACAGAACCAAGAACCCAGGTTCGATTCCAGCCTCTGGCAACTGTTTGTGTGGCATTTGTATGTTGTCTGCGTGTCAGTGTGGATTTCCCCTGGGTGCTCTGGTTTCCTGCCACAGTTCAAAGATGTGCAGGTTAGGTGGATTGGCCATGCTGAAATTGTCCATAGTGTTCAGGATGTGCAGGCTAGATGGGTTAGCCATGGTAGATGTGGTGTTAGGGGATACGGTGCGTGGCTGGGTCTGGGTGGGATGCTCTTCAGAGGGTCAGTGTGGACCCGATGGGCCAAATGGCCTCCTCCTGCACAGTAGGGATTCTATGACTCTATCTGAAATCAGAATGTTGTATGCTTTGTTTCAGATAACCGTCAGGACTTCTTTCCTTGAAGTACTTGGGCAGGTAAGGCGAATATGTTTTGGTTTACGTTTTATCCTGTTTCTTTAGGGTGTTGCAAACACCACTTGCATGCGTCTGAATAATTAAGAAATCTTCAATGTTCAGCATTTGTGTAGCAGTCCTTTTGGTGAAAAATCTCAGCATTGCCCAAGCAGCATCCAAAAAACCTTCTGTAATTTTTCTCCACCCTTTGCTGGAATAATATTGCCGCAGAGTTTGCTGAATGGCTTCTCAGGTATATTTAATCCTGTTGAAGATAAATTTCATGCAGATAAATCTTATCAACCTGCGCAGGCAGGTATCAAGGGGTAGATTTTCATGAAGGAGTGACAAGCATGAGCCAGCGCAGTTGCTGACTCCACAAACCCATCTGTGGTAAGGAGACTCCCACCTGCTAAATTTTCATTTCTGGAAGGCAACAGCAGGTTAGGGCTTGGCTAGCTGTCTCCGGTAGACCTGAGATGGTAGCATCGGTAATTAGCTGTATAAACGACAAGGTAGAAGCCCTGCTCCTGTTCACTAGAAAATTAGTAAGCTGTGATCATGACTGTCAGGAATTCAGACCCCTATACCCCCATGCACCCTCATTTCTGCAGGCTCCATGATCCTTGCATGTCATCATTCTATTTTCGTTGCCTGCATGACCCCATGTAAAATCCTGTAGATTCATTCTCCTAATATGCAATATGTTCAGAACTAGTAACTCATTAGCAAGTCTTTGATAGATCTTGAAACTGACAGTATTAAGTGGAGACTTTGACAAGACACTTTGAAAAAACTGCTCAGCTTTGTAATAGTTTAAAAGTGTCAGACATTCATAATTCTTCAGAGTATCATGTCAGCTTTACACTACATAGTTGCTATTTGATGGGAGTTGCAAAACAATCATGGCTTGGACCTGAACATTTGAGGATATTTAACAATTTTGAAGGACAGGAGAAAGGAAAAGGAGGTGGGTAACTTTGTTAATCAAGGAGGAGATCAGTATACTTGGAAGAAAATAATTTTGCCTTGGAGAATTAAGATTTAGCATCTGTTTAGGTGGAAATATGAAATAGCAAAGGAAAGAAGTCACTATGGGAGTAGTTTATAAATCTCATGACTGTAGGTACACGGTAAGACACAGTAAAAATCAAAATGTAATGAGGGCTCCTAAGGAAAGTGCAGTGTTAATCATGGGTAATTTTACTCATCTTATAAATTGGACAAATCAAATTGGCTTGGTGATTGAGTTCATAGTGGTATTAGGGACAATTTCTAGAATAATGTGTTCTGAAACTAACTTGGGAATGAGCTATTTCAGACCTAGTAATGTGTAACTATACAGGATTAATTAATGACTGCACAATAAAGAATCCTATAATAAGAGTTATCATAACATGATAAGATTTCATATTCAATTGAAGGTGAGAAATGAGGGTCTGAAACTAGAGGAGAGTGTTGGCCAAAGCAAGTAGGGCTGCCAAGACCAAAACAATTGTGGTGGGAAACCATGTGGGTTGGGGGGAGACTATTGTAAGCCACGCAAAGGGCAAGAAACGAGGGTGGTGAAGCCGGAGCCTGGAGCGACACGTAGTCAGAATGGATTGGGGTTGGTGGGAAAGAGTCTTTTGCCTGGGAAGGGGACTGAGGCTAGGAGCCATTAGGAGAGAGACCTGGAAGTAGGGGAGAAGAAGGATTGTTAACAGGAGAGGGGAGGGCTACGAAGAATGCAGTGGGGCTGCAAAGGGGAGAGATGAACTGCAAATGGGAAAGAACAGATGCAGGAAAAATTGAAGTCACAGAGATAGTGAATTTCTTGCAAATGAATATGGCATCTGTAGCTTAAGGTTGCAGAGGTTCTGGAGCTGATTTATGTGGGAAAGCTATATTAGATGAAATTGTAATGAACAGTATCAGTTGGATATTTAGTTCTGAGCAGTTTTACTTCATGAAGACTTGCATTTATGTGTTATTGCATCTCAAAGTATCTTACATACTGTGAATTATTTAATGCATTGACTATATTAGATTCAAATATGTGGGGGGGTGGATACTGGGGCATGAAAATAGAGAGGTCTTGCAACAGTGTTGCAGGATATTAGTGAGACCGGTCTACAGTTTGGTCCTGGGGTTCATACAAACAAGGAACAAAAGCAGGCTATTTGGCCCTTTGAGCCTGCATTGCCATTCAACATGATTGCGGCTGATCTGATTTTAACCCCAACTCTACATTATTACACACCCTGATAATCTTTCATCGCCTTGGCAATCAAGAATCTAACTACTTCTACTTTAAAAATATCTAAAGATTTGGCTTTCACTGCCTTTTGAGGAAGGCAATTCTAAAAACACTGAATTCTCTGAGAGAGAAAATGATACTCATCTCCGTTTAAATGGGTGTCCTCATATATTTAAACTATGAACCCTGGTTCTGGATTGTCCACATCCACCTGGTCAAGTCCTGTCAGGATCTCTTACCCTTCACCTTACTCTTCCAGATTCCAGAGCACATAGCCTATCCTAGCCTGCCTTTCCTCATTAGGCAATCTGCTCACTTCAACTTAAATTGTAAGACCTAATCAGTCACAATTATCATCTGAGTTGAGAGGATCAATTTACTGGTCCTGATAATTTACAAGATCGTTCCAGTTACAAGTATGTTTTCACAAAGACTCAATCAATGATTTTCAGTTGATCCACTTTAGGACATCATCTCTGCCTGACTGGCACATGTCACTTGTTCTTTTCTGTTGACTGAAGTCATCTTTCTGTCTTTGGTCTGAGTGATGTTCATCTTATTTATCTTACTTCCCACTATCTCTTGATTTTATCCTAAAAATAGGAATCATGACCCTTTTAGAACAGTTTGTTGTTCTCAGTTGACCAGTTTCACAGAGATATCTTCACCAAGATAATGTGGCATCAGTAATTTAAGAGCCTGCTTAGAGTATGTTGTGTCACCCCCTCTTCCCTCCCCCCCCCCCCCCCCCCCCCCACACCAAACCCCAGTGGTTTAATGTCATCCCAGACTTCTCAAGTAATGCATCTTATATGTTTCACCACACTTGTTCTGAAAGTATTCTGAAAAGTTCCAAAGCCTATCAGTATCTTTTAACTAAAAGAACTACGTTTGACTTCACAATAACTGTTGATGCCTGAAACCTGTTCAAGTTCAAAATAACCATACAAAAGTCTTATAAACAGGCATGTTACTTATTTCAGATTACAAAACTGAGACATTTTTGAAACAGAGCTGTGCCATCAAGTGAAAGTTTTTTTCACCTTTGTTAGCCTTAGTTTATATTAATTAACTTGAGTCATAAAACTGTAAACCTTACTTTTGACCTGGGTTGCATGGCTGTTCCTCCTTACTAACCACAGTCAAATAGACTATAATTTCATTCTTCCTTTCTTAATCAATGCAAAAACTATTGAAAAGTAAGTCCATGCAAAATCCGTCCTATGCAAGGAGGGATGTGCTTGCAACAGAAGCCGTTTAGAGAACATTCATTAGGCTAGTTTCTGGGATGAAGAGTTTGTTTCATGAAGAAAGGATAAGCAGGTTTGGCTTATATTTATTAATGAGAATTAAAGGTGCTTTTATTGCAATATATACACTTCTGAGGGTATATGACATGGTAGATGTTGAGAGGATGTTTCCTCTCATGGATGGAATCTAGAACTAGGGGCATACTTTAAAAATAAAGAGACTCCCATTTAAGATGAAGGTGAGAAGGAATTTCTTCTCTGAAAGTTATTGGTTTTTGGAATTCTGTTTCCTGTAGAGCAGTAGAGGCTGTGCAAGTGGTTATTTTCAAGAATGAGTTAGTTTTTTTAATCAACAAGGGAATTAAGGATAATGAGAGAGCAGGCAGAAAGTGGAGTTAGAGGCATAATCATATCAGCTGTGATTTCATTGACTGGCATTGTAAGATTGACAGGCTGAATGGCCTTTTGCTCACATTGCTTAGATCTTTTATCCATTCAGATCTCATAACTTTACGTTAATGAGCAAATACATAGCAAAACAATATCAAAGAGACAGTAATTTAATGAAAGATAGTAGAGATGTGAGTCAACCACAGCTTGCCTTCCTTTGTAACATTATCTTCTGCGCTAAGTGATTTAGCCAAGCATTTGTAATGATGCCATCTCGCAACTGTATCAACAGAATTAAACATATATTTATCCAAAGTCTGTTTTTCACCAGTTCTTCCTGAAATATTGATACTACTTTAGTTCAAATTCCGGCATTCATGTGCCAGCTTCTAGCTTTGCAGTGCCAAACCTAGTTCACTGATTCTTGTGGCAAACTGGTATTTTGGGTCACATATCCAACTGAGCACTTGAACACAAGTGAAGAATGTACTCCTATTGAGAGAGTGCCCTGTTGATGGAGATGTCACTTTTAAGGTGAGATGTTGAATCCTTGCCCTATTCACCTGCATGAAGTGTTCCCATTGATAGTAGAAGAAAAGAATAGGATTTCTTCCACTAATTTGGCAAGCATTTATCTTACCAGCAGTATTATTTTAAACCAGTTTGTATGTACGAACATCCCACAGGCTGAAAATTGGCTGCCATGTTTGCCTAGATTACAATTGCAAGTACTCTTCAAAAGTTGGCTGTGAAACATATGGTGACAGGCTGAAAATATGAAAGGCATTCTTTAAATGCATCACAAAGCATATTTGTTTCTCTTCTAGATTTTGGATTGTCCCCACTTTCCCTTTGCAAAGAGCCAGAGTAGGGAAGGAGCGGTTTATTTCGCTATGTTAAATCCACTTTATAAGAGAAGGTTGTTCTCTTGTAAGATCTGTAAAATGCCGAGTGTTTACTCACTGCCTGATTGCAGTGAATCATTTAACATTATAAAATTGACTACTTAATGACCAGAAATCTCCAATGGTTAACATGCTCAAGAGTTCTTTTGTAGGTGGGCCAATCCCTGGCTACAATTTCTATTTCAAGTGGTAATTTCAATCCAAATCAAGGCAACCTTCATGGTAATAATGGCTGCATTTATACGGCAGCTGCCAGACTTGGACTCGTAACTCCAAATTTGTTTCTGCCGGGTTTTACCTTATTTATGTTGCTCAGCTACTATCTGAGTGGAATTCCAGTTATGTTGCCTGGATTACCTCCTTTGCATTTATGTAAACAAATGTACTTAAACCTTCTCTTAACTGCAGATTATGCAAGTGCTGGGGGAGGAATCCCCAATCTTAAAGCTTTTAAATTGATCTTAGGATGGTTTAAAAGAGCTCAAGATTTATTGAGATCCTGATGAACCATATGTTAGAGCAAAATGCTCCATGCTTTATGATTCTTTTCCCCAAGCAGTCAAAACCTCATTTGGAATTTAGCATTGTTCCTAACAGCATTAAAAGCTTGAACAAACCAGTAGAAACAGGGTTGTAAATAACATAGTCAGTCATTATTATAGTCCTGGTGTGGTGACTTACAATTGCATTTAAGAGCTGGAAGTTAAAGCAGATCTATGGGCAAGATGTTTTGATTATACTTTCTTTAAAACGTAAATCTTTCATGTGTGGGCTTTTCAGTTAATTGTATTTAAAACAGCAGCTACATAAAATGCTATAGCAACATGTTAGCGTATAATATGTAGATGAGAGCGTTGTTTCTGAAGTAAACTCATGCCCTGGGTGTGTAGTGCTGTTACTTTGTACAGCAGTATTAGTTTGCATTTCTTTCAGTTTTGAACTTCGAAATCATTTTTAGTTAATAGCTAACGCTTCACAATATAATCATTCTTATTTTTGTGCTTTTGGCAGTAACTTAAGACACTTAAATTTAATTGGTTTATTTAAAGAAGAAAATGGTTGAAATACTGGATCTTAGCTATGCAATACTTTTGAAGAATAACAAGACAAGAGTATTTGGTATAGAATTAAAGAATAAGTAATGTGATTGGCTGCTGTTTTAAATTGTGGGCGTGTATGGCTTACAATGGCTTTTCCAGATTGGTTGGTTTTCTGTTTGTAAAAACATTACATTGGACTAATGATTTAAAAGGGTTTTTGTGAACATTAGTGAACAGCGTAACCAGGACTCCAGCTGGTTTATTCTGACATTTGCAGCATTCATTACTGGCTGAGACTTCGAAACGTGAAGATTCCCTTTCCTCAATAAATGAATGTTAATACATTGTGGAAGAAATGGCTTTGCATGAAGTGATACACATCTTCTCTGAAGAAAATATAAAGAAGCACACAGCATTGTTCCAGGAACAGGATTGCAAACACAATCGACTCATCAAAGAAAGCATAATGCCAAGGGAAAAATGCTACAGGTATCTTACACCTTTGAAATTGCTGGAGATAGAAGTATGGCGACTCACCGTAATCACAGAAAATGAGGTGGCACTGATGAGAACAAAAGTCCCAAAGTACAAAATGGCAAGAGAGCTGATATCAAAGGATGCCTCTGAATTTCATATCTCTCCTCTGCATGCATGGTCAGATGAGAGGAATTGGAGTGTCATGTTTCAAGAAGACAAACGTGCTAGTTTACATAAAGATAACGCTAAACAACTTATAACCTCTTTACCAGCATCTGGTTTGCCACTACAATTGCCAAATGTGCCATTCTTGTACCCAAGGAAGAGATACTCTGTTTCTTCATATATTATTCAGAGCAAATTAGAAAATCGCTTTTATAAAGTTGGCAATTACAGCTCTTCCCTTCAAAAATCCTTGCACATGCCAGTAAAAAATGGTGTCTCTTTACCTGAAATACCCAGACACCTGAGAATGCTTTAGTCTTCATTTCCAATGAAGTAGCTTGTAACGTAATTTCTATGAATTTCTGAATACAAAATTAGACTTCGAGCAGTGCGATCTAACTGTTTTGAAGCTCAATTTTCAAGATTTAGTGATTGAGCTTTATTTTAAGAAATAGGACAAATTATGATTTTATTTTAAATGTATTCTTTATAATGCTAACTGTACTCAGTTTAAGAAAACAAGATTGTTCATTTGAAAGTTTGGTGTTCTCACAATATGTATGATCTTTTTCATAGTTTGATTTGGCCTCTGAGAATGTAGCAAATATCGAGGTATAAAAGAATTACACCATTCATTGACATGTCAAATTCCATCTCCATGATGAGTAGTAACATTCAAATTTGACACGTATATATTGTTGCAATAAAGTGTAGTATTCTGAGGTTGGAGTTCCTTGGGTTTTGATTGAACATGATAGCCCACAATTACATTTGTTCAAATATTTAAGCCAAAATTAAGCTTGGACTGTATTTTGCTGTTGATTAAATTTTTATTTACACCTATCAATATTTCACATCTTTCAGCGAATTTTCAATTATTTAGAAAGCAGTTTTACAGTCCTAACGGCTTATAGTTATTTTTCGTTCACTTGTGGAAGGTGGGCATCGCTGGCTGGCCAGCATTTATTGCCCATCTTTAGTTGCCCTTGAGAAGGTGATGGTGAGTTGCCATCTTGAACCGCAATCCATGTGCTGGAGGTATAAACCTTTAGAGAGGGAATGCCAGGATTTTGACCCAACAACACTGAAGGAACAATGATTTATTTCCAAGTCAGGACGGTAAGTAGCTGGAGGGGAGCTTACAGCTGATGGCATTCCCAGATATCTGCTTTCCTTGACCTTCTAAATGAAAGTGGTTGTGTGTTTGGACCGTGCTGTCTGAGAACCTTTGGTGAATTTTTGCAGTCCATTACGTAGATAGTATACGCTGCTGCTGCTGAGCGTCAGTGCTGGGGGGAGTGGATGTGGTGCCAATCAAGCGGGCTGCTTTGTTCTGGATGTGAGTGCTGTTGGAGTTACACTCATCCAGGCAAGTTGGGAGTATTCCTTCACACTCCTGACTTGTACCTCGTAGATGGTGGACAGGGTTTAGGGAGTCAGGAGATGAGTTATCTGCTGCGGTATTCTAGTCTCTGACCTGCTCTGGTAGCCATTGTGTTTATATGGTGAGTCCAGTTGAGTTTCTGGTCAGTGGTAGCCCCAAGAAGTTGATTGTGGGGCATTCAGTGATGGTAACACCATTGAATGTCAAGGGACGGTGGTTAGATTATCCTTTATTGGAGACGGTCATTGCCTGGCATTTATGTGACACAAATGTTACCTGTCGGCCCAGGCCTGGATCTTGCCCAGATCTTGTTGCATTTGAACATCGACTGCTTCAGTATCTGAGGTGTTGCAAATGGTGCTGAACATTGTGTTTGGCAAATATCCCAACTTCTGACCTTATGATGGAAGGAAGATCATTGATGAAACAGCTGAAGATGGTTGGACCTAGGACACTACTCTGAGGAACTCCTCGAGCTGAGATGACTGACCTTCAAAAGCCATAACCGTCTTCCTGAGTGCTAGGTATGACTCCAACCAGTGGCGAGTTTCCCCCTTGGTCAAATACAGCCTTGATGTCAAGGGCAGTCACTGTTACCTTGCCTCTGGAATTCAGCTCTTTTGTCCATGTTTGAACCGAGGCTGTGATGAGTTCAGGAGCCGAGTGGCCCTGGCAGAACCCAAACTGGGCGACGCTGAGCAGGTGCTGCTTGATAACACTGTTGATGACACCTTCCATCACTTTACTGATGATTGAGAGTAGACTGATGGGACAGTAATTACTTGATTTGGATTTGTTCTGCTTTTTGTGTCCAGGACATACCTGGGCACTTTTCTGCTTTGTCAAGTAGATGCCAATGTGGTACCTGTGCTGGAAGAACTTGGCTGGAGGAGCTGCAAATTCTAGAGCAGAAATCTTAAGTACTGTTGCTGAACTGTTGTCAGGGCATATAGCCTTTGCACTATCCATTGCCTCCAATCATTTCTTGACTCCACATGGAGTGAATTGAATTGGCTGAAGATTTGCATCTGTGATGCTAGGAACCACTGTAGGAGGCAGAGATGGATCATCCACTTGGCACTTTTGGCTGAAGGTTGCTACAAATACTTCAGCCTTGTTTTTTGTTCTGATGTATTGGTCTCTTCCATCATTGAGGCTGGGAATATTTGTGGAGCCTCTTCCTCTAGTGAGTTGTTTAATTGACCACCACCATTCATGTGGATGTGGCAGGACTGTAGAGCTTAGATCTGATCTGTTGCTTGTGGGATCGCTGAACTCAATGTAGTACATGCTGCATATGCTGTTTGACATACAAACTGTCTTGTTTGGTAGATTCATCAGGTTGACACCTCATTTTTAGGGATGCCAAATACTGTTCTTGCGCTCCCCATTGAACCAGAGTTGATCCCCTGGCTTGATGGAATCAGTGCCAGGGTCATCGATATCTTGAGCTTGCTGGAGCGAAATCTGGAAGAGTTAGGAAGTGATGTTGATGTGGTGTACATGGACTTCCAAAAGGCATTCGATATAGTGTCATACAACATAAGTTATAGCTCATAGAATAAATAAGGCAGTAGCAACATGAATACAAAATTAGCCTAGGGATAGGAAACAAAGTGTACTGGTCTTTGAATATTTTTTGGCGTGGTGGAAGGGCTGGTTTTGGGACCACTACTTTTCCTAATCGATATCAACAATCTAGATCTTGATGTGCAGGGAAAGGTCTCCAAGTTTGCAGATGATACAAAACTTGAAAGCATTGTAAACTAAGAGGAGAGAAAGTGAAACTACAAAAGGACACTGACAAGTTGGTGGAATGGGCAAATGAGGTGAGGTGATACATTCTGGTAGAAATAACATGGACATGCAGTACAAAGTAAAGGGCGCAACCCTATAAGGTGTGGCAGGAGCAGAGAGACCTCGGTGTAAATGTGTGTGAGCCCAATAGGGCTGGTAGCATAGGTGTAGGCTAAGCAGTTAATATGGGATACAGTATCTTAGGCTTTATTAATAAGAGCTTAGAGTTCAGGAGCAAAGAGATTATGCTGAACATATCTTAGACACTAGTAAGACCTCAACTAAAGTACTGTTCACAATTCTGGGTACCACACATTAGAAAGCATATTAATGCATTGGACAGAGTGCCGAAAAGATTTCAAAGGATGGTTCCAGGATGAGAAATTTCAGTTACAAAGATAAATTGGAAAATTTGGGATTGTTTTCTGTAATCATCTGCTAGGAGCTGGTAGGAATGCCTGAGACCAAATGGAACTAGGAAACAGCTAAAATTTCTTCATCAATTAAGGGATAATTTGGTGAGCATTTGACTTTATTCAGAGGGCTCTTGTGATGCAGTGGTAGTGTCATTGCATCTGGGTCATAAAGACTTAGGTTCAAGTTCAACCTCCTCTAGAGGTGTGTCATAACACCCCTGGACAGGTTGATTATTAACAGCCATACAGGAACAATTAATCAATGTAGCTGGAGTTGCGATATGTGAATTGAAATAAAACTCTGATAAGAAAAGCATATGCCTGGACTCAGTCCAATCTGCATTTAACCTCTGGTGTTGAAATTTTTTTCTCAAGAAAGGAGAGGAGAAAGCCAAGGGGATATTGAATAGAAGATTTCGAAATCATGAAGGGGCTGAGCAGAGTAGATAGGGAGAAACCATTCGCCCTCATAGAAAACAACAAATGCTGGAGATCACAGCGGGTCAGACAACATGCATGGACAGAGAGCAAGCTAATGGTTTTCAAGTCTAAATGACTGTTCATCAGAGCTGAAGTGAGGTGTGGAAGGGGCAGCATTTATGCTGTAGTTTGGGGGGAAGTGATTGGGGCTGGTGGGGTATAGAGTATTGTTGGAGAAAAGATGTCGATAGTTCAGATGAAGTGATCAGAATGTGAGAATGGCAGAACAATGGTGTGTCTGACTGTCAGATTTGAAAGAGCAAGTAGTCATCAGACTAGGCACTTTACAGCCTTCTGGATTTAATATTGAGTTCAACACCTTCCAATTGTGAACCAACTCTCATTTCTTTCCTTTCTTTTAGCTTTACTTGTTACATTCTGTGTCACCATATCCTCTCTCCCTTCTCCCCACCCAAGTGGGACTGTCTGCTCTTTCAAGTCTGGAGTTAGACACACTATTGTTCTGCCAATCTCATATTCCGATCACTAAATCTGAACTATCAATATCTTTTCTTCGCTGGCAATCTACACCCACCCACCGCTCCCCTCCCCTGCAAAAAAAAACATACATGCTGCCCCCTCCACACTTCACTTCAGCTCTGATGAAGAGTCATCTTGACTCAAAATGTTAGCTTGCTTTCTTTCCATAGATACTGTC